GGGGGGGGGGGGCCGGGTTAGGGAGTGGATTACCAGGTTGAAGACACACACCTCTCAGCCCCAATCCCCCCCCCAAATCATAGCTTCAGCTTCATCCCCTACAGCCCCCCCCCCCCCCCCCCGGTCCAGAACACACCCCCCCCCCCCCCGGCACCCGCCGCGCTCCTCTCTCACCATTCCGCTCCCGCTCCGCCGCCCAGCTGCCAGCTCTGCCCCGCACTCAGGACCCCGACACCGCCCCGCACAGCTGTCCCCGTCACTGCCTGCAAGGTACCGCGCCTGCGTGTGAGCCCAGCATCCCCACCTGCTGGCGGGAGGGGGGCACTGCAGGAGGAGACACTCATTGAACCTGTGAAATTGACAATGACAACACCAGGGAGAGAGAAGTTGGAGGGTAAAGTTAAGAGGACTAAAGGACGGACTTGCATTTATTTGCAGCTTTTCACCACTTCTGGAGGCTTCAAGACAGAAAACCAGGAATCTTTTGTCACAACTCACTGGGGTAGTGCACTTTCAGCTTCCTGTTGATTACCCCTTTTATCAACAGTTTGGTTCCAGAGAAAAAATTAGATCCTTCTCCAGTTAAAGAGTTTGATTAACTCCTTTGTCCCTTATTATAATTATGGGTTTAGTTGCATCATTTGAAAAGAAATTTGACAAAAAAAACCTTCATATCCTTCGTATCCACTGTTCCCATTGTGGCCTCCTCTACATCAGAGAGACCAAGTGGAAGTTTGGGGACTGCTTTGCAGAATACCTACGCTCGGTTTGCACTAAACAACTGCACCTCCTAGTCGCGAACCATTTCAACTCCCCCTCCCATTCCTCAGACGACATGTCCATCCTGGGCCTCCTGCAGTGCCACAACGATGCTACCCGAAGGTTGCAGGAACAGCAACTCATATTCCACTTGGGAACCCTGCAGCCCAATGATATCAATGTGGACTTCACAAGCTTCAAAATCTCCCCTTCCCCTACCGCATCCCAAAACCAGCCCAGCTCGTCCCCGCCTCCTAACCTGTCCTTTCTCCCACCTATCCCCTCCTCCCACCTCACTGACCAACCCCCACCACCACTTCCTACCTACCAGCCTCATACCCGCCTCCTTGACCTGTCCGTCTTCACTCCCACCTATCCACTGACCACCCCCCATCCCAACTCCCTACCTACACTCACCTTTACTGGCATTATCGCCGTCTCCTTGACCTGTCCGTCTTCTCTCCACCTACTGGCTCCACTATCCACCTTCTATCATCGCCTCCCTCTCTCTCTATTTATTTCAGAGCCCCCTGCCCCTCCCCCATTTCTGAAGAAGGGTCCAGACCTGAAACATCAGCTTTTCTGCTCCTCTGATGCTGCCTGGCCTGCTGTGTTCATCCAGCTCCGCACTTTGTTATCTCAGACTCCAGCATCAGCAGTATCTCCAGTATCTCTTCATATTGTTCACCTGCTTGCCTTTCTTTCACTTTCTCAACTTCCATCCTTCTCCAGTTTAATGGGGAGATGAAGAAAACAGTTTAACTAATGGATCAGCTCAAAATGTAGCTGCAAGATGTGAATTCATTGGAAAGAGTGCAGAAGTGATTTACAAGCTTCAGGCGGGGAGGCAATGACCTAGTGATGTTATTGCTGGACTGTTAATCCAGAGACCCAGGTGATATTTTGGAGACATGGGATCACATCACACCACAACAGATAGTGGAATTAGGAGTTTAATGATAACCATAAATGCATTGTTGATTGTCGGAAAAATCTGGCTCACTAATATCCTTTAGGGAAGGAAATCTGTCATCCTTACATAGTCTGGTCTACGTGTGACTCCAGACTCAAAACAATGTGGTTGACTCTTAACCGCCCTCTGGGCAATTACGGCTGCAAAATAAATGCTGGCCTAGCCAGAGAATGAATTTAAAAAAGGCTTCAGGGATGAGGAAACTTAAATGATTTACTCTGTCCAGCTCACTCATGATTTTGAAAAACTCTAACAAATCTCCCACTCAGCTTCCTTCTCTCCAAATAAACCAGTCCCAATTTTTTGAATCTGTCCTCATCACTGAGTTCCTTATTGCTGAAATCATTCTTGTAAATGCATTCATATCTGTCCTATAATGAACTGATTTGCCGAACAAATCTGGTGGCATTTTATGAGGAGATGACTAAGTGGTAGATGAGGGTAGGGCAGATGATGGAGTTAATATGGATTTCAGCAAAACCTTTGACAAGGTCCAACATGGGAAACTGATAAAGGAAGTTAAAGCTCACAGGATCTAATGTAACTTAGCAAGTAGCATCCAAAACTTAATGACAGGAGACAGAGGGTGGTGGCAGAAAACTGTTTGTGTGATTGGACCCCAGTGGTTGGAGCCCAATGTGGAGTGGCATACCACAGGAATCAGTGCTGGGTCCACTATTGTTTGTGATATTCATAAATAATGTACATGAGAATGTGGGAGAGATGATACGCAGGCTTGTAGATGACACAAAGATTGGCGGAGTGACTGATGGTGAAGAGGAAGGTGTTTAGCTACAGGAGGATATAAACAGTCTGGTCAGATGGGCAGATCAATGCAGATAGAAAAGACAAGAGAGTACTCAATGAATGGCAGTACACTAGGAAGCTCAGAGGAACAGAGGGATCTTGGATGCATGTCCACAGATCCCTAAAGGTGGCAGGACAGGTTAATAGGGGAGTTAAGATGACATACAGAATACTTGCCTTGATCAGTCTTTGCATTGATGATAAAAACATGGACATCATTTTGGAGCTGTGCAGGACTTTGGTTAGGCCACAGCTGGAATACTGTGTGCAACTCTGATCACCACACTATAGGAAGGATGTGATTGCACTGGAGGGGGTGCAGAGGAGATTCACCAGGATATTGCCTGGGATGGAGCATTTCAGCGATAAAGAGAGGTGGACTGCACCTCGCAGTCGCAAACCATTTCAACTCCCCCTCCCACTCCTTGGACGATATGTCCATCCTGGGCCTCCTGCAGTGCCACAACGATGCCACCCGAAGGTTGCAGGAACAGCAACTCATATTCCGCTTGGGAACCCTGCAGCCCAATGGTATCAATGTGAACTTCACAAGCTTCAAAATCTCCCCTCCCCCGACTGTATCCCAAAACCAGCCCAGCTCGTCCCCACCTCCCTAACCTGTCCTTCCTCCCACCTATCCACTCCCCCCACCTCAAGCCCCACCCCCACATCCTACCTACCCGCCTCATCCCACCTCCTTGACCTGTCCGTCCTCCCTGGACTGACCTATCCCCTCTCTAACTCCCCACCTACACTCACCTTTACTAGCTCCATCCCCGCCTCTTTGACCTGTCTGTCTCCTCTCCACCTATCTGCTCCTTTATCCATCTTCCATCCGCCTCCCCCTCTCTCCCTATTTATTTCAGAATCTTCTTCCCCTCCCCCATTTCTGAAGAAGGGTCCAGACCCGAAACGTCAGCTGTGTTCCTCCAGCTCCACACTGTGTTATCTCAGACTCCAGCATCTGCAGTTCTTACTAACTCTCTGAATAAAAACATTTCTCCTCATCTCACTCATAGCTCTCTTGTTGACAATCTTGAAATTGTGATTCCTGGTTACTGACATACCATCTAGTGGAAACAGAACATCCTTCTTTACCCTGTCAAAATTGTTCATAATTTTGAACACCTCAATTAGGTCACCTCTTATGTTTTTTTGCTCCAAGCAGAATAACACCATAAGATATAGGAGCAGAATTAGGCCATTCGGCTCATCGAGTCTGCTCTAACATTCGATCATGGCTGATGTGTTTCTCAACCTCATTCTCCCGCCTTCTCCCTGTAACCTTGAACCCCTCACCAATCAGGAAATTATCTATCTCTGTCTTAAATACACTCAATGACTTGGCTCCACAGCTCTCTGCAGCAATGAGTTCTACAGATTCACCACCCTCTGGCTGGAGAAATTCCTCCTCATATTAGTTCTAAAAAGTTTACCCTTCACTCCTAGGCTGTGCTTTTGGGTCCTAGTCTCTCCTACTAGTGGAAACATTTTCTCTTTGTCTACTCTATCCAGGCCTCTCAGTATTCTGGAAGTTTCAATCAGATCCCCACTCATCTTTTGAAATTCCATCCAGTACAGAACCAGAGTCCTTCATCACTTCTCATATGACAAACCTTTCATCTCCGGGATCATTCTTGTAAACCTCCTCTGCAGCCTCTCCTATGCCAGCACATCATTCCTTCGATATGGGACCCTAAACTGCTCATAATATTCCAAATGCAGTCTGACCAGATTCAGCATTATATAGCCTCAGCAGCACATCTCTGCCCCTGTGTTCTAGTCCTCTTGAAATGAATGTTAACATTGCACTTGTCTTCCTAACTGCCAACTAAACCTGCATGTTAAACTTAAGAGAATTCTGAGCTAAGACTCCCAAGTCTCTTTGTGCTTCAGATTTCTGAAGCCTTTCCCCACGCAGAAAACAATCTATGCCTTGATTCATTCTACCAAGTGCATATCTTCACACTTTCCCACATTGTGTTTCATCGACCACTTCTTTGCTCACTCCCCTAGCCTGGTCAACACCTTCTGCAGCCTCCCTGCTTCTTCAGCACTACCTGTCCATCCACCTATCTTTGTGTCATCTGCCAACTCAGCAACAATGCCCTACTCCACTGGCCATTGGCTGCCATTCTGAAAAAGACGCCTTTATTCCCATTCTCTGCCTTCTGTCAGTCAGCCAATTCTCTATCCTTGCCAGTTTCATATTTTTTAATTCATTCATAGGATGTGGATGTCTGGCCAGTATTTATCGTCCATCCCTAATTGCTCACAGGGCAGTTGAGAATCGACCACATTGCAGCAGCCCAATGTCCACTCTTGCCTCTCTCTCTTACCTTTTACAAAACTATCTAGTTTAAAGCCCTAACTTTTTTTTTGTTCATTGATGGGATGTGAGCATTGCTGGCTAGGCCACATTTATTGCCATCTCCAATTGCCTGGAGGGTCTGGAATCACATGTAACCTGACAATTGACACCAATTTTATGGTTATCATTAAATTCCTAATTCCAGATTTGGTATTGAATCCAAGCTCCATTATTTGCCATGGGGGGATTTGAACCTAGGTCCTCAGAAAATTACCAGGCCTTTGGTTTAATAGACTAGCAATAATACCACTTCTGCCATTGCCTCTTCCAACGATTCATGATTATGCAAGGATTCTGGTCCCAGCATGATTCAGGTGGACAAACAGGAGGCTGGAAGAACACAACAAACCAGGCAGCACCTGGAGGAGAGGTGCTGTCAACATTTCGGCTATT